ATATATATCATATATTAACCTTGTTAAAATTGCTTACATATTACTCTTCGATATGTTTTTGTAGGTTACAAGATAAACAATTCAACAAATTATATTGTATATAATCATGTACAAAAAAAATAAAAATAAAAATAAAAAAGACTAAATGTACACAAATCAAAAGTTTTTTTTAAAAGCCAATATTTGCGTGAGAAATTGATAACTTTTTTTTCCGGTTAAATTTTTTCAAAAAAAAATCAACACCACCACACCACCCTAGACCTTCATCTAAGCCAATCTCACCTATGAGAAGATTCATATATACCATATTAGATTTAAGTTATGTAACTATGCTTATCAATTTATATATCTTTTCTTGCCTTAAATAAAACCAGTTCTCACTGTTACACACATAGTATTTAGGTTCATCGGTCAACCCATCAACCCGCCAACCCATGAACCCGCAAGCTCATAATTAAACGGGTTAGACGGTGGTGTCCGGGTTGATATTTCCAAACCGCCAATATGTGATACGAATAATTATATGGGTCATGTATGGGTTGATACATTTTGACCTACCAACCCGAACCCGATATGATTGACACCCCTATATTCGTGTGGTGGTGTTGGTTTAGAAAAAAATTGGATAGAAAAAAAAAAGTTACCAAGTAATTCTAATGCAAATATTGGTTCTAAAAAGAACTTTTGATTTTGCTTGCATTTAGTCCATTTCTTTTTTTTATATCATATATATCTAATTTGTTGAAACTGTTCACCTATTACCTTATAACATACAACAACCGGTTGCAACGTATCTAATTAATTCATTACAATGCCTACACATATCATAACATCAAATACTTTATAGCATAAATTAATACAATATGCCTTTAATAGTAACTCACAACCAAAAAAAGGTTTAATGCGCATCTAATTAAGCAAATACAATCTTTAGACACATCATACCATCAAACATATCATGGGGAATCAAGCAAACAAAAAATATTCCAAAACACCAAAAAATCTCTAAAAATCAGAAAAGAAGAGGTTGTGTACCTTCATGGAAGCAACATGTGGTGGTGGTGGTATTGTTTTCCGACGAAATCTGGAGGAATCCGGTTGTGGTGGGGTTCTACAACCAAGATGAAAAGTTAGGAAAAAAATAATTAAATAGAGAAAAAAAATGCCATGGAGTAGTTCATTAACGAGAAGAATGGTGTTCTGCTGGTGTTCGGATTGGTGGTGTGAAGCTTCTTCGCCGGCAAAGAGAAAGAGGTGTGTGCATGATTGGAAATGGGAGCGAGAAGGGGTTTATCTTGTGACAGGCTTTAGCGGAGTAGCCGCGATAACACTTAATAACGGAGTAGCAGCGACAAGTAAGTGACAATCGCGGTGACCCTGAAAAAAGGTGGAGGGAAAAAATTGCAATTAGGTAAGGCCATCTCCAATGGATTAAACCCATGGAGAGTTGTATGGATTGCCAACTAGGAAGAGAATATACACATTCACTTTAATTCTTAAAAAATTAATAAATTTTCAATTACAACTTCATTCCACCGTTCAATGGCCATTCAACTCCACACTCTCTCTCCTCTATATTATATTCACATTTATTCCATTAAACCCTCATACAACTCCCATTGTGGATGGCCTAAGCAATAGCGGCAACGGTGGCGTGCTATTAGCAGTATCGCTGTTGATGTATCAAGAAAGTTCCTTGTGCATTGGATCGAGGAGGGTAGCGAGGGATGGCTCATGCATATATATATTTTGGCGAAACCAAACAAATCGGGACTTTAGCAGCGACCCCGAGCGCATCTGGCTTAATTGGTGTCAACACAAAAATCGTCGCTGCTACTTCTCTGATTTCTTGTTGCCAAAGGTCACTGAAAATCATACATGGTGCCATAATGTATTACTAAACTCATGCTTATCGCATTTTCACATTTGGAAGAATCAGCAAGGTTTTAGCCAAATTATGGATGAGCTAAGGAACTATATTAAAACTATCTTATTTGAAGCTTTTTGGGCTTGAAATTGCTTAATCTTTCATGTCTAGTGCAGTTTTTTTAAAATATTCCCCAAAAATTAATATTATTATCTAAAAACCAAGTATGATCGTTCAACGTTTCAGTCGTAATGAACTAAATTAATCTGTATGATATGCTTTATTTAAATTTAAATACATTAATATAATAGGTAATGGGAAACGTGTATATATATTGAACTCATATCTTTTGTCTAGCCACATATTCAAACACATTTTAAAATTCATATATTCGCCAAGGGCAACTTTGGCCTATCTGCCCCGTTTCTATTCATGCTGTATTAATCTAATGCGATAAAAGTATGGTCGGATCTCGTAAAATCTTATCATTTTTCAATGTGTGGTTCTTGGTGATGACCCGCTCAACTACTTTATAGTGTAATTAATCGGTACTTCTCTCTGACTCGGTTTATGAAAGGCAGACATGGCTTTGGAGAGATATGCACCTATTTATGGAGCAATTATCATGGAATCATTACTTGATAATTAAATGGCCTTCAAATTGGGTTGAAGCTTTTATTAGAAGTGTAAATAATCAAATCATGTGAAATTGAAAATTGTAACAACAATTTATATGAAAAAACTGGTAGATAGCGACAACCTACGTTGAAACCTGTGTAAACTTTAAAATGATTTAGATTATAATGCACAAATTAAAGAACTAACAAAGTGCTCTACAATGCTAAGTTATATAATTAATCTTATTCTTATGGTTATATTTCCTTTTACTTCAAGTAATACTGATCAATCTTTTATAAATGTCTACATAAATCACTGCAGATTGCAAACAATTAATTGGACAGTCTTTAGTTCTCATGGGAGAGATTGGAGGTAACGATTACAATCATGCATTAGTTGCTGGAAAATCTATCGATGAGGTTGAAACCTATGTTCCATTTGTTATTAACACCATCATCTCAGCAGTCAATGTAAGAATATAATCAAAATATATACTTTGTTTTGGTCGTACTTGTATGCAATTATATATACAAGACTTTGTTTGAGGGTTGGATATGATGAAAAACACAGGAGCTTATTGAGCTAGGAGCTCAAACACTTGTTATACCAGGAAACCTACCAATTGGATGTTCTGCTGCTTATTTGACGATCTTTTATGGCTCTGATAATATCCAATATGACAATTCAACCGGCTGCATTATAACGTTAAACAAGTTTGCTGAGTACCATAATGAACTTTTACAAAGAAAATTACAACAAATACGAGTGCTTCATCCTGAAGTCAACATCATTTATGCGGACTACTACAATGCTGCCATGCAATTTTTTCGCTCTCCAAACAAATTTGGTACATTACATGTTACTTTTAGACATGAATACGTCGTTCTTATAGACAAAACCTTGCAACTTGATATGCTATAAGCTCCCTGAATGATTGTTGCATGTTTCATATGTAGTATCTACAAGTTCCAGAGAAATATTATTTACAAAATTTTGGAATGTTATAGGATTCACAAATGGAGCGCTAAAGGCATGCTGTGGAGGTGGAGGACCATTTAATTACAACCCGTCAATAGATTGTGCAGACTCATCATCCACTTCATGTGCACAGCCAGATACATATGTTAACTGGGATGGGTTACACTTAACGGAAGCGGCCTACAAAGTTATCTTCAAGAGCATATACGAAGGGTCATACACAACTCCTCAGTTCAACACTTTATGTCCTATTTCAACGTTACAATGGCCAGGAGGTTTGTTAAGTTCTATTTAAAACCCGAAAAAGTTTCTCTATTCTTATTCTAGCCTTTGGGTACAAGTAATTAAACATGGGAAAAAGGATGTTTTGTAATAATTAAATTAAGATGTTAAATAGTTTGTGTTATTATATGTAGATATGATTAAATAATGTATTTAATTTATATGATTTTTAGTACATTTATTTTACCCACAAATTGAATTGGGAAATTGATTTCTTTGGGTAATGAATTTACTGAAAGTGTTAATATTTGGATAACTTTTTTTATACATGTAAGCTACGAACTTATTGAAAGTGTTCACATATGACCATTATATCCAACTATAGCAAATTACAGTTTATGTGTCATATACGTACGTGACAAAGATAACTACCCTGGAAGGTAATGAACTATTGGTTTTGTTTACATATAAACGGTTTTTTTTTATTCACATTCAACCATTCAACTTGTTAAAACTGTTCACATAATACCATTGTTTCAAAATTTTAAATAAGTAGTTGAAGTCCGGAACATTCGCTCGACTCTTGTTACCTCAAACAACTTACTGTCACCAATTATTACTCCTAATGTACTAATACCAATGCAAAAAACTCTTAATATATATCAAGTAAGAAAATACAAGCAACCAACTAGCACATAGTACCATATAAATCGATCATCTAAAGTAAGCTAGTGCACCTTTAAAATTCTAACCGGTAAGCATATAGGCCCTAGTGACTTCATGGTTTTAAGGGAAATACCTTAGTGTATTTTAGTGTATTTAGACCCTTAAGGTGTACGATAAATACCTTAGTGTACTTAGACTGTAACATCCGATTTTCACAACCAAAAATTTTCATTTGTATTAAGATAAAAACTTCCCAATTTATTAATCAATTAATTAAGAAAACAATTTATTCCGAATTACATTTATTAAAAATCAGAGTATTGTAGAAATGCGTAATCTTGAATGTTGTTGATGAGTGTGTACATTCCCTCCTTCGCCTTCCAGCAATAACCGATGATACCTGAAACCATAAACAACCGAGTAAACATAAAGCTTAGTGAGTTCCCCCAAAAATACCACCATATAAATAGGTAAAATATACAATCAAACATGTCGGGTCCAGTCAACCATCGGGTTGGAATACCCCAGGCTCAGTCAACCTCCGGGTCCAGTCATCCTCAGGATGGAATACACCAGGTTGGAATGTCAATATACAACAGGTCCAATCAGCCATCGAGCTAGAATACCCAGGGTTTGTTGGCTTACCGCCTCAACCCTATCGCTCTTCCCAAGCCTCCGTGCCTAGGGCTTACAGCCGGCCCCCACCGGGTATCTTGGCCTACCGTACAAAACAGGACCGCCTCAACCCAACCAAACACAATATGTTGACATATAAATAATCAGGATCAAGTAGGCACATAAAACAGGCAAACAACAATCATACAACTCACTACTGCTTACTAATCCTCTCACAACATACAGTCCCACTACCAACTAACCCCCCATAGTGTGTAACCATAAGTAACCAGAGGTGAGATAGCCACCCAAACAGATGGTCCTACTTTAGAGCCACAACCAAACAAGGAACATGCAAGAGAGCCTAGACCAAGAGTTCTCAGGCTATTCTACATGACCACCGACAGTCCCTAAGGGCACTCCATAGATGATAACCAGAAAGCACATATAATATACAGTTCTACAGGTTATTACCACAAATCAACATACACAATACCAGGAGACAGATCTAACTGATCACTACAACATAACATCATACTCGATACCAGAACACAAATCTATCAGATTACTATAGCATAACAGCATACTCAATACCAGAACACATATCTAACAGATCACTATAGTATAACAGCATACTAAATATCAACAATCCAAGGAATGCATGGCCATATATACTCAAAGGTGAGATAGTCACCCGGACAGGTGATCCTACTCTAGAACCACAACCAAACAAGGAACATGTTAGAGAGCTTAGATCAAGAGTTCTCAGTCTATCCTACATGACTATATACAATGTGACAACCCGAAATTTTTTGCCTTGTAAGTCCAGCCAGTCAATTCAACCGTGTGTTAAACTCATTTCTGCTATCAGTTAGCATTGTTTAGAGTCTGTTTAAGGGTTCTAAGCTTAGTACATTCAAGCAGTGGGTTTAGGGAAGTGTCAGCTAAAGTTCTTCGCATTGAAATCGAGCCGAACACTCCGTCAGAGGGAGTGTACGGCCGTATACATGAGTGCACGGCCGTACACCCATGTTGGCTGTACACCACCTCCATAAGTATGATATCCCTTTCATTTCTAGTCATTTCTTCAGTTTCCAAGTCAAGAACTCGAGTTTTCTCTCAACTATCATCAAGCTTTTCACCCCGATCTTCAAGAATGTAAGCCTTTCTTCTGTTTTGATTAGTTGTTATTCTTCTTAACCTAGTAACACCCTTTGATTTCATCCATGAAAATCATCTTTTTGGGT